CTCGGAGGTAGCTCGAAGACTAACTCGGAGGTAGCTCCAGGACTGGCTGCGAATAGCCTTCGCTGCTCCTTATGTAGCCTCCATCGGACAATACAGAAAACGGCCACGTAATAGGCACCACTATGTCTGGTGCCATCGTGCCAGCAACGCTGTGTACCGCTGTTACTACCGTCGTCTCTCGCAACAACTGTTTACCCGCGCTGCCTAGCAACCGCGGTGCACCTTGGTGACGTCACCGCTGTTGACTCGCGTTGCATAGCTACCAGGATGCTGGGACTCGGCTAACTTCACCTCCGCTCGGCTCACTTCGGCTGGCGGGGGGGAGGGGCGTCATCCATAGCTCAACATGTCACACTGCTCCCTCCTTAAGGCTGTTCGTCTCGAATAGCCTAACGGTGTACCCCCGTTCCTTTTCCATCCCGTAGCTGTGCTTGCGGTGTCTCCTGTTGTTTCGGCTACTCTTCTTGCAGCGACTATTCTTCGTCCGTTACATCCGCTCTCTTGTTAAGACAAAACTCGTCTCGAGCGGTTCCCTTTTTAACTTGCCAGAAGATCAAGTTCTATCGCATTCATTCTTCTCTTTCATTCTTGCTAAGGAGGCCGGTGTATCTACAACCGGTTCCTCCTATACGGGCCTTTTTCTTTTTTCCGTTTTGGAGGGGGTCGACCCCTCCATAAGTTCCACTTCCTTATTTTCCGTAACCCGTTGGAAGTGCCGACTACTTGTGTCGCAAACCTTCCACTGAAGATCACGTTGCCGGTCTTCTGCCTCAGGCGTAGTAGTTCCTCCACGTCCTGGTTCCTTATGCCCTTGCTGCATTTCCGTTGTGGCTGACGCCGCCTCCCGGACGTCTGTCCTGTCACGGTTCCCGTCCTTCCTTTCCCGGCTTTTTTCCCAGCATTGACCCTCGTTACATCTCCTTACGGGATCTCCCTTGCGCCGTGTCGCACCTGCATGACTAGTCATATTGCTGTTGGCAGCCAATTCATGCCATGGGCCACAATTTCCTTGGGTCACAGATTTCTTGAAGATGTTGCGTTTGCGCCATGCCACTGTTGCGTGGCGGGACACCTTCCTGTGGACGACGGCCAATTTATTCTNCCAGCATTGACCCTCGTTACATCTCCTTACGGGATCTCCCTTGCGCCGTGTCACACCTGCATGACTAGTCATATTGCTGTTGGCAGCCAATTCATGCCATGGGCCACAATTTCCTTGGGTCACAGATTTCTTGAAGATGTTGCGTTTGCGCCATGCCACTGTTGCGTGGCGGGACACCTTCCTGTGGACGACGGCCAATTTATTCTGGGGTCCGCAATTTTTCCGTGTCAGGTTCTTCTTATTTCGTCGATGTCAGTCCCGACGCCTTTTCTTCTTCGGTTCTCCGACCGGCATTACTTCGGCGTCCTGTACCGGTACCTCTGATAGTTCTGCCGCCTCAGGTTTCCTGTTCGCTGAGGTCGGCTCTTCTTCTTCTGGACGTGCCTCCATCTCTTGGCAGGCCATCGTCTCTCCGACCGGTATTATTTCGGGGACCTCTTCTCGTTGTGCCGGCGCAGGTTTCATGTCCGCGGCAGAATTTACTCGCCAGGCGGCCATCTGTTCTCGCCGGGCCTTTCTATAGGAGTCTAGCATCGCCAGGACATCTTCTATGTCTTTCTTCCTATTGGCCTCCTCCTCGTGAATGGTTCTGATTTCCTTCAGGAGAAGTTCCATCATCTGCTGCATCTCCATTTTGTAGCAGTAAAATTCTCTGAGGCGTATTTAAACTCGTAAAAATTCTGACACCAAATTGTCACGTGTCTTGAGTTCGAAGCTCGTTGGTCACGTGTGAAAGTCCAAATCCACTTCTGACACCAGTGTCGCGTATTGGGGGTATATCGCGACAAATAACTTCACGCCGTATTTTATATAGCGAATTTTATTTCACATTCGCACTTACAATCACCCAAATTACAGATTCACAATTACTGCTATCTGCAGTATCACAAATACTACACTCCAAATGCCAGAATACAACTGACTGGTTGCTGGCTAACTCGGAACTAACTCGGAGGTAGCTCGAGGACTCTGTGAATAGCCTTCGCTGCTCCTCATGTATCCTCGATCGGACAATACAGAAAATGGCTACGTAATAAGCACCCTTGTTGCCTGGAGCTGTGTTGCTAGCAACGCTAGCGGTAGTAACCGCTGTTACTACCGTCGTCTCTCGCAATCCTGTTTACCCGCGCTGCCTAGCAACCGCGGTGCACCTTGGTGACGTCACCGCTGTTGACTCGCGTTGCATAGCTACCAGGATGCTGGCACTCGGCTAACTTCGGCTCCGCTCGGCTCACTTCGCCTGGCGGAGGGGGGAGGGGCGTCATCCATAGCTCAACATGTCACACTGCTCCCTCCTTAAGGCTGTTCATCTCGAATAGCCTAACGGTGCACCCCCGTTCCTTTTCTGTCCCGTAGCTGTGCTTGCGGTGTCTCCTGTTGTTTCGGCTACTCTTCTTGCAGTGACTATTCTTCGTCTGTTACATCCGCTCCCCTCTTAAGACAAAGCTCGTCTCGAGCGGTTTCCTTTCAGCTCGCCAGAAGATCCAGTTGTGTCCCATTCATCCATCACTTTCATCCCTCCTTGGGAGGCTGGTACTTCTACACTACCGGTTCCTCCTCTGCTTGAAGTCTCTTTTTCCGTTTTTGAGGGGGTCGTCCCCTCCACAAGGTCCAATCCTTCATCAGGTCTTTCGTCGGAAATTTCTTACATCGACGTA